GGTAGAGAGGAAGCGGGGCTGGACGGATAGCGCTAATAACGCGCTCGTGACGCGAAAAAAAAGGAAGAAGTATAATTGCCAGCCCTCGTGGCAGGTATTTTTCAAATAGGACCCGTCCGTTAATTGGAGGGCAAATTAAAGAGGCGCCGCCGAGGAAAAAACATCATCCCTCCTCGTCTCCTCCCGCGGCGCACCTCCCACCCACGTCCGTATATATCCAAGAGCCATCTCGTGATTCGTCAAACGACCCGTACGCTCCGTTTTTCCCTGGATCTAGTTTTTTTAATGATTCTCTCTTGGTCCGATTGATACCGCGATAGAATTTAAAAAAAAAAAAAATAAAAAAAAGGGGGGGGAGGGAAGAATGTCTGCATCGTGCGACGCGCCGTGAAAAGACGCGGCTAATGATGACGGTTTTTAAGTCCTTTTTCCCGATCCGGGAGAAAGCCCGGTAATGCTAATTGTGCGATCAATAACCGATCGTTCGGAATGAACCTGACCGATGAATGAGTCCGCCCGTCGATAAACCGACGGCCGGGAGAAACGCGCTTCTGTTTTACGCGTCCAGCAACGCTATAGTTACGCACATATCATATTTCATCGCGATGGCTGCAGAGATACGTTAATAAAAAAAGAACGTTACTTTGCCCTTTTCATTGGCAAATAGTGAATATCAAAATTGCCAATATTCGCGAGCAAATTAAAAGTTCAATTCACAGGTACTAAAATACCAATAAAAAAAAAAATCGGTTGAAATTAATCATTTGCGTCGGTGAAAAATTTCGAGCTTGTTGCGATGCTGCGAAAATTCGCACATCGTACACTGACTGAAATTACTTGCCTCTCGTAATCATAAGTTTAACTGTATCGCGCGAAAACGAATAATGTGTGCGGGAGAACATATGTGTGAACATCGATGAATAACACCACGATCGAAAAAATAAAAATTCATCCTTCTATTCTCGCGAGGATCTTTTCAGAAGAAACTGACGCGTCAAACATTAGATAGCTGAAGAAGTTTCTCAAGTCGAAATTAAAATGTATTCAAAAACTTGTATAGAATTTTTCTGTAAATGTTGATCTTATCAGGATAATTTGTTTATCACTCTAAATCGACTGCTGCAAGGATATTTCAGATATTGTATTATCTCTCGGCTATACCAATATCGTCAGAGCGGATAATAGTGGCACTTTGATCGCTTATAAAATGAAATTGCAAGGAGAAAATTTTGCTTTTTACTACTGCCAGTTTTATGGAAATTAGACTCTTTAAATATGGCAACATCTTCTCAAGAATTTTCAGAGATCCCCAAAAACGTAGTAATTTCGTAGTAAATATACTCTGCATTAAAATAGAAAATTTTCATATTCACATACCTACGATAAAATATAATAATATTAATATTAATTAAAAATTAATTAAAAATTTTGTAATAATTATATATATATATATATATAGTGCAATACCGTTAATATTTGCTATATTGCACTTAGAAACTAGAAATGTGGCCACCGTTTTATTTCTCGAAGAAAATTTGATCCTTCGCTGCATCAGTAAAATCACTCTCACGTGGCGCGCGGCGCGACAATTCTCGTCTACGAGATAACATAATCGTAAAATAGCAAACTGATTTCGAGCGTTATGGTTTCTCCGAACTGACGCGGCGTTGCGCGGATCGGCCAACGGTCAACCTCCCCCCCTCAAATACGAGAGGACCTCGGAGAAACGACGATATTCGATCGTCGAATCAGCAACGGATACGACTTTTTATTCGGTCAATATAAGGAGCACCCTTCTGAGATTACGAAATTGCCCTAACAGCAATATAGGAGAAATTCACTTCCCGCGCGTTCCTCCCCCTCGCGTTTTCCGCCGTCTCTATCTCGGAGATCCCGTCGGAGCGGACAGGGCCGCTAGGTGGTTTAATAAAAATGTCAAATATAAAGTAGCCAGTGGGGACGGACGTTTAGGAAATAAATAAATGTAAAAGAAAGTCCGTGGGTGGAAAGGAGAGATCGGAGAAAGAGAAGAGAGCGAGATAGACAAATACGTAGACGGATAGACGACGGTAGTGGAATGACGACGACGGCGAGGGGGGGGGGGGCGGTGAAGTCGTCTCGGAGAAGGAGCGCGAGCAGCGGACTCGATATATTATTACGGTTAAAGGTCAGCGCGACGCGCCCGGCTGACCCAAACTGCAAGCGACTGCACACTCGCCGATTTCAATCGGAAGCGTTTCTTGCGTCGGGAAACTCGTATCGAAGATGCTCAATAAAATATGACGCCACGCTCCGGCACAATCGAGTTGTGGACGGGACGAATAGATGTAGAGAGAGATCCGTTTATTAATACTGTCGGATCGCGAAATCAGAAAAGGGAGAGACTGTCCAAGATCGAAAGAGAGAAAAGCTCGACGAAGAAGGGAGACAGCGGCTGCAATTTCGGGGCTTAATAATGATACGAGCCCGACGGGTTGGATCCCGTGTCATTATACCATGAAGTGGAGAGACTGCTAATTAGTCATTAGCGTAGGAAAAAGACACCTTCAACCGGCGCTGCTGCAGCTGCGGAACGGCGAACAAACCCCACCCGACGACGACGACGACGACGACGACGACGAGCGCGACGATGACGACGACAACGACGACAACGACGACGACGACGACGACGACGAACGCGACGATGACGACGGTGGCGAGGATGGTTGCACGGCAAACTTGGGCAAACAGGGTGTAGCTGCGTTGGCCTACGTCTAATTGGACCCCAGCGACATAAGTTCCACTAATTGAGACCGGCCTCGTAACTATCAACACCGCTACTACAAGGGCCCGTTCGTAAATCCTGAATGGACGAGCAGCGATAACGATACGGATATACCCGCCTTCGCTGATTGGGGACGAACAGCACGGGAAACTGCGTCGCGACGCTGCAAGCTACGTCGTCGCCGGATGAGAGATAATTACAAGTTGTAAATTTACTATATTACTACGGTTAATGAGGGCGTGCGTAATTAGAACGAGTGCTTGTTCCGCGCTGCGCATTTCGAACTATGTAGGTAGGTAATGGTCGATTAATTAATAGTCCCCGCGATC